ATTGTAGCACCAATACTATGTAGGGTATCAGGGGGAATCACCTGTTATACAACTAGCCCCCTTCTGAAAGTTTATCTTAGTTAAATCATGTTCGGTTAGGATAGTCTAACCTACATTAGTACAGTATGGTTAGGAGCAAGATGGAAACAGGGTGACTTGACCTGATATCATACATGGACATCAACACACCTTCGGTTTGGTCTTATACCCCTGCTTTTGCTATGGTGTTCACCATAACGAACACAGCTGTAGGTGACAGAAAAATACTTTATACAAACAGGCACTGGCAAGTTCCTTCTCCTGCTTTCATATTCCACTGACGATGAGTTCTTGATACGAAGAACTGTTCCAGACATTGCCTGGAACTTCTTTAGATCTTGTTCTAATTCTTCATAAGTTTTATAGTGCGTTTTAGCTTGGAAAATATCATTAAAGTAATTAGACACATCTGTAAATTCCAAGATAACGTCTTCATTTGCTTCACCTAGAAACTCATTCACCCTGCTATTCAGGGACTTGGGAACATCATCTATGACTTGATCTGGAGATGGCTTCACCCTATTGTTCATGGATCTGGTAATGTCTTCTATTTCTTGCCCTTGGGAAATTTTCACACTGCAGTTCAGGGGCCTTGTGACATCTTCCACTGCTTGGTCTGAGGATGCCTGCTCCCTGCTGTTCAGGGACTTGCTATCATCTTCTCCAGGTTGATCTGGTGACACTTTCACACTATAGTTCAGGGACCTTGTGCTATCTTCTATTGCATGGTCTGGGGATGCCTGCTCCCTACAATACAAGAACCTGGTTTTATCTTCATCTGTTGACACTTTCACAATGCAGTTCAGGGACCTTGTGCCATCTTCTACTGCTTGGTCTGGGGCTTTCATATTAAATTTTTGGAACCTTGTGACATCTTCTGTTGCACGGTCTGGGGGCATCTTCACCGTAATACTCTGGAACCTGGTGATGTCTTTTATCTTTTGATTTAGGGACGTTTCTATACTATACTGCCGGAACCTAGTGACTTCTTCTATTGCACGGTCTGGGGACATCTTCGCCCTACTGTTCTGGAACCTGGTGATGTCTTGTGCTGCATGATCTGGGGAAAACTTCACCCTATTGTTTTGAAACCCGGTGGTGTCTTCTATTTCTTGGTCTTGGAATGTTTCTACATTATATTGCTGGAACCTAGTGGTGTCTTCTGCTGCATAGTCTGGGGACATCTTCACCTTGATGTTCTGGAACCTGGTGTTGTCTTCTATCTCTTGGTCTGCAGGTGTTTCCATACAATATTGCTGGAACCTAGAGGTGTCTTCTGCTGCATGGTCGGGTGACATCTTCACGCCAATACTCTGGGACCAAGTGACGTCTTCTGCTGCATTGTCTGGGGAAATATTCACCCTACTGTTCTGGGATGTGATGACATCTATTACTTGGCCTAGAGATGCATACAACCTACTGTTCAGAGCTCTTGTGTTATCATCTTCTGTTTGTTCTGATGTCACCATCACTCTGCTATCCTGGAACCTGGAGATGTCTATTGCTTGGTTTGGGGATGCCTTTACCCTAGCCTTTAGATTCACACAGTCTCTCAGAGTTACAGCTTTTCCAAATTTGTTATGTAGGAAAGCTTGGAGCTCCTTATTACCTGAAAAGAAAATCTAGGTGTAATGAAACATAATTTATAAGCACCATAGTAAAATTGTATTCAAAATGAATGAAGAGATTATTTTCAAATTCATTTATGCACATAAACCCCACCAATCTAATACACAAGTACAGTACCACCACTCATATACCATTTAATTTGCAAGAAAGATCTTTGGAGAGAAGTGACATACTAATCTACACAAAGCTCTAACATATAAAGGTAAAAAATATTCAAATTGTAAGAGCATTCTATTAACTCTTTACCCTGCTTTGATGACAAGTGTTTATTTTACTTTTTCATGGATCCAATTTTAATTTCACACCCAAAACCCAAAATATTTTTGGGTTTTATTTTGTGTCAATCATGTTCCTTAATTGGAACAAGCTCTTGTCTGTTATACAACAATAATTTTATTTACTATATGGAATCATGTCCTTATTTGTTTGTGGTGCAGTACTGGTATGTATTTTCTAGCATCCTTTACTTATTTATATCTCTAATTTCCACCTCAGTCCCCTAGTTCAGCTTTCCCTCAATTAGAAAATATTTCCTCTATTAATTTCATTTACAATTTAGCTTAGTATTGTGTAAATTGTGATAATATTACCATTAGGCCTTTTCTTTTAATGCCATTAGATTATATTATTTTAGCCAGTATTCATAGCTTGGCTTTCAGCATTTTTTCATATGCCTCACCATGCTGTATATTCTAGGACTGACTTTGAGCATGTTAAATATAATGTTTTAAATAATTAATTGCTTATGTTTATGACTGGCATTCTTATATTTACCAATTTTGCATATTTGTGGTATTTGTGAGTACACGCAGGTACTTCTACCTCTCCAAATCCTGCAGCTGCCTTCTTCTCATACTGTACTGCTGTCTGGGACAACTTTCTGTTTTCAAACTTCATTACTTGTTGGGATTGAATTCTAGTATTCATTTGTCTGCCCCATCCTAATCTGAACATGGAGATTACATCACATGAAACCAGTAGGCATGGCAAAATGTGGAAAATAGCCCCATTGAAAAGCAGAGGTGCAATAGGTACATTGAGGGAGAACTCTATCAACATCAAGGGCCCAAGACTTTTCAACACTCTCCCACTACACGTAAGGAGCATAACTGGCAGGCCTCTCAAAGTGTTCAAAAGAGAGCTCGACAAACACCTCCAAAGAATATCTGATTAACTAGGTTGTGATTCATACGTCAGGCTGTGAGTGGCCACGTCCAACAGCTTGGCTGACCAGTCGACCAACTGGGAGGCCTGGTCAGAGACCAAGCCATGAGGCCATTGGTCCCCAGAAACTATATAAGGTAGACACAAGATAGGTATCCATCCTATCATTAGCTTTAACTGTCTTGTAGTATAACATGATCTATTTCAGTTATTATACATTTTTATCATGTAAGAATTTATCTCCTCAGGAAGGTCATTTACATAAATGAAAAAAAGAGTAGCCTATAGAATTTAGAGCTGTGGAACTCCATTTACAAATTCTCTCCACCCATGTATTTCTCTCTAACTATGACCCAAATTCCTATGAGTCACATTGTACTAAAACTAAGCCAAAAATATATATACTGTAGTGCATACTTGGATTCATTCTGAGAATATCGCTGACCTCTTGCAGCTGCTGAGAATTGAGACACCTGTTCCTAGCATAGAGATGTGCTGTTTTGACATTGAGTTTGTGGTTGTGTATCAAGTTCTTCTTGCTGATGAATAAGCCGTTGAGCTTGTCACTATATTTTGCTGATATTAAGAACTCACAGCCACAAGCAAGGTACCTATAGGAAACAACAGAGTATTATAAACTAGATGAAAATTAATGGAGAGAGGTATCCTTGGTACATTATGTGGGTGTTAGGAGGGGTAAGCAATGGGAGGGTGTGAGAGTGTATGGGATGGGTATATGATTAGTGGGGGGTTGTGGTGGTGCTAGTGTAATAACCGAGTGTGGGTGAGCATAAGGTTAGTGGTGGTTTGGTATTAGTGAAATATTAAAGTATGCAGGTGTTAATCATTGTGTGCATTAAGTGGGTGGGGTGTAGGTGGACACAGTGTTCGTAGTGGTTTGAGTATTATCATGGTATGATAGGTGAGCGAGATATACATTTTGTGGTGGTTGGGTAAAGGAAAATATTTTGGGTAATAAGGAGAACAAATTATGAAGACAGGCTGCATTAACTGGATGTAGGATAAAACAATCTCACTGCCAAAAAGGCAGAATGCCAGTTACTCAGTCCAAAGTTAGCTATGGTGGGTATGTGAGCCTGCGGGCCGCTCCAAGCAACAGCCTGGTGGACCAAACTCTCACAAGTCAAGCCTGGCTTCGGGCCGGGCTTGGGGAGTAGAACTCCCAGAACCCCATCAACCAGGTATCAACCAGGTAGCATACGGTTTGGGGAGACATTACATCTTTTCCAACTCAATCCTAACATAAAGTACAAATGAATGCTAACATACTAATTATTACACAGAGAAATCACATTTCCATAATATATCAATGAGAAAATCCACAGCTGTGATGAGGATTCGAACCTATGCGCTGGGAGTTCCCAGCGCATAGGTTCGAATCCTCATCAAGGTACCTGTGGATTTTTTCATATATATTACATCCATACCTATACATAACCAAAATTAATCTAGCCTAACATAACTTATCACATCCAAAAAATCTGGAAAAGTGTGGGCAAGTGATAGCGGGTGTGCTATTTTAAGGATTAGATTGAATATCCTTATTTATATTGTATCCAAATATTGTAGCATCCCATTGTCCTGCATCCATGAACATGGGTTGGTTATGACCCAGGTTCAAACACTAGGCAGAATATTATGCCCGAAACGCTATGCGTATTAGTGGCTTTAGGCTTTGTATGTAATAGCTCTATCTATAAATCCAACTTTATGCTTGTAACTCATGAACTATGTATGTACTTTTCCTGAATAAAAAATTTAATTTAATCAGAAGTACGGTTACAACAACACAAAGGCACAATCAGTTACGCCTTTTACAACATGCCACTTTCCTCATCTTTATACTTTTGACTGTGTTAGGTTTGGTTATGATCGTGTAACCTTGCTATCAATGGCCTTTAAACAAATATAAAAACTGCAATGGTTGAAAACAAAGTCACATACCTGATGTATATATAAATATTACTATTACTGTTATTATATACCTGTAATGGCTACGGTATAGTTGATTATGCCAGAGATTATTTTTAGCTAGGAGTCAAAAAGAGAACTTGACCTGACCCGCCCCACCCACCCCCATACTAGGTCACTCACCCTCGGTTTGGCCGCACACCCTTGCCTTTGCTCCGGTAGTTACCGTAGTGAACACAACTGTATGTCACAGTGAAGTACTTTATACAAACAGGTATTTGAATGTTCTTTCTCTTGTTCTCGTATTCAACCGACGATGAATTCTTGATCCGTAGAACTGTCCCAGACAACACCTGAAACTTCTTTAGATTATGTTCTAATTCTTCATAAGTTTTATAGTGTTTCTTCGGCAGAAAAACATCGTTGAAGTAGCTAGACACGTCTGTATTCTCCATTTCTAGTGCAGGGTCCTACATTGCACTCTACTAGAACGGGACCTGAACTGAGGGCATACCTGGCACTTTACTCACAGGCCTAATGGAGTCCCTTTGCTCACTACACTTAGGCCTATGAGAGCCATGGCATAGACTTCCCGCCCGGGCAAACTCAAACTCGGTTATTCTAGGAAATGGCGATCATCTCACCGACCGGTCACCGTAGACTAACAAAGACTCGATAATGAATGATAAGACAATATAAATTGAGATTGCTGTTGCCGCTTTAGTATTTGCGGAGCAGTTATTGTGCAGGTTGGTGTATAAACCCTGCCATGACCCCGTAAATAAGGTGTACCCCAGTGGGTACTATGAGCTGGTGCACACGTCCGCTGTCGCGGTCCGCCATCAGGTGGCACCACCGTCCACATAGGGGACGAATTTCCCATTTTCTGTGGTTGTTTGTTTACTAACAAATTCGAACAGCTGTCATTAATATAAAGCGTCCTAAATCAACACATCCTAAGCCATCCTAAATGGCTCCCCTAACCTTCATGACTTGGAACGCAAAAAGCGTCAAAACATCCCTCACAGAACTTAAACAATTCCTCTACTCATCCAAACCGGACTTAACATTCATCACCGAATCCTGGCTCACTCCCAAACAAAATCCCGTATTTAAAACTTTCAGACGGTCCATAGAATTACCCAAATCGGCCCAAAACTACACAAATCGTCCTAGCATTACGTAAGTAATGAAGAAATATGGTATATTTACTTACTATAATGTTGGTGCTACACGTAGAACATGATCAAACCTATTTTTACTCTGAAATAATCTAATTTCATAACGAAATGAGACGTAAATATGAGAGAGGTGACGCCATAGGAAGTCGACGGTCCAAGCGACAATTGTGTGGAGCGACTTATCCAAGATATATGGTCGCCTGGAGAGTGTTTGCTGCCATATCAGCCTCCTGTACACAGTGATCCAGTCGTCGCATTTCATGGCTCAAATTGTCACAAATTTAATTGGTGATATTAAGAAGTAGAATGTGTATTTATATAATATCTTTCATAAACAGCCATTAAATCTTTAATATTTATTAAACAAAACGTGTCTGGAAGTTAAATCAACTCCACAGGACAATAAATTTGTTATATAGATACTAGCGTTATTCGTTGGTATGCGTTCGCAATTTAAACTGCTCATGTCCTTTTCGTTCATTGAACACCGAACCCTACACAACCATGCACAACTCAAAGTCCTACAAGTCACACCCCTGGAGTAATGCAATCGGAACCTGACAAGTTGTGTAACCGGAGCCCGACCAGTTGTGTAACCGAAGCTTGACCAGTTGTGTAACCGGAGCCCGACCAGTTGTCTAACTGCAAGTCTAACATGAACGAACCAAACAAACAACCTCTGGATCACAACCATGCACGAACGGAAGCCCGACCATGCACAACCCAAAACTCAGGTGACACCCCCGGAGCCCGACCAGTTACTTAACCGGAGCCCGACCAGTTGTGTAACCGAAGCCCGACCAGTTGTGTAACCGGAGCCCGACCAGTTATTTAACCGGAGCCCGACCAGTTATTTAACCGGAGCCCGACCAGTTGTGTAACCAGACCCCGACCAGTTGTGTAACCGTAAGCCTAGCAAGTATACATCTCATCCAACCCCCATAAAGCTAAACAGTCCCAGAGCACAACCAAACTCCATTCCTAGTTCGACCAAACAAAAATCTGCTTAGAGCTACCTAAAACCCTCCACTTGTCCTAGAAACACACTATGGAGCCATATCAAACAATTGAACTATATACAAGAAAAGAAACCCAAATTTCTAGCAAACAAACATAAAGCCCTTGCAAAGAAACCTGGAGCACTAGTACACAAACAACCACTGGAGCACAACCATGTACGAACATGGTTGTGCAAAGCCCAACAAGTCACACCCCCGGAGTAATGCAATCGGAACCCGACAAGTTGTGTAACCGGAGCCCAACCAGTTGTCTAACTGCAAGCCTAACATGAACGAACCAAACAAACAACCTCTGGATCACAACCATGCACGAACGGAAGCCCGACCATGCACAACCCAAAACTCAGGTGACACCCCCGGAGCCCGACCAGTTACTTAACCGGAGCCCGACCAGTTATTTAACCGGAGCCCGACCAGTTATTAACCGGAGCCCGACCAGTTGTGTAATCTGAGCCCCACCAGTTGTGTAACCAGACCCCGACCAGTTGTGTAACCGTAAGTCTAGCAAGTATACATCTCATCCAACCCCCATAAAGCTAAACAGTCCCAGAGCACAACCAAACTCCATTCCTAGCTCGACCAAACAAAATTCTTAGCGCTACCTAAAACCCTCCACTTGCCCTAGAAACCAACTATGGAGCATATCAAACAATTGAACTATACAAAAAAAAAAGAAACCCGAATTTCTAGCAAACATATAAACATAAAGCCCTAGCCTAGCCTAGAAAAAACCTAGAGCACTAGTACACAAACAACCACTGAAGCACAACCATGCACGAACCGGAGCACAACCCAAAGCCCAACAAGTCACACCCCTGGAGTTATGTAATCGGAACCCGACCAGTTGTGTATCCAGAGCCCGACCAGTTGTGTATCCAGAGCCCGACCAGTTGTGTATCCAGAGCCCTGGAATACAGCTGGAAAGGATCATCAGGTCAAATAGGGGGACCTTTGACAAGCCGCCGGCTTACTGCCCTCATCGAGGCCACTAGTGTTAGTGGCCCTCAGGTAAATTCAGTTCCCGGAGGGGTGTCCCCGCTCCTTCCTGTTGGGAAGATGTTCATCTATTGCAGTATCATACTATCAAGCAAGAGGAGCCACACATCTATGGTTCATCCAGTAATATCAGCAGACTTCTAGATGTTACTATACTGCTCGGCTTAGACTCGGTTACAAGTATCTCTGGGAATTCTCATTATCTGCTGATGTAGATCTGACAAAATGTAAACTGTATCAAGATTGTAACTTGCTTAGCTTCAGTCCTTGAGCCCATTATGTGCCTCTGTAACCCTTTCTACTACCACCCACACGATGGGTATGGGGTGCATAATAAATGAACTAAACTAAACTATTGCAGTATTTGTACATTGAACTGTCGCTTGTCAGTAAACTTAGTTGTTAACTATTAACTTCATGAAATAATATTACCTTATACACGAGAATAATTCTGAATACACAGTGATAAAATTGATGAATGAGGCTTTGGGTCGGGCGGCGGCGTAGGGGAGCCTGGCCTGAGGACAGGCAACTGTAAATGCTTCACCCTCCACATACTTCAAGTGAAAATAATTGCCAACAGAACCTAAATACCGAACCTACTATACGCCTAATTAATTATAGAATATAAAATTAATTTATACACGATAAAAACTTTTTAATACACAGTACATGAAAGTCGATAATAAATGCGTCTTGGGATGTGGGGGAGACGACCGCCGCGTTAACGTGCCTAGCCTGACGACGGGGTAGTTTAACACTGGGGAAGTGTATTCTACATAATATCCTACCCATATAATGTTGGCAAATCATGATCCTCAAAAATCTTCCACAATATCCGAGAGACGACAGACTATTTAGCATTAGTGGAATACAAACATTTGAATACTACACAACCCGGATGAAAAAAAAATAGGGAAACAATGACCCTCGGAGACATTACAAAACTCAATGCTATAATAGCGAACAAATGTATAATGCATTAAGCATTGTAGGTGGAGGTAGACTATATATTCATGCATACCTCCCAACTGCTCAGATATATTTGGAAAAAACAAATGATCAGCCTTACCTACACGGGACCGACGATGCTCACGCCACGGCTGCTTCCTGACGACTGACCGGGTCGGCGTCGATGACCCCGTAGCGACCAACCGACCCAGAGACTCCCTGCCTAAAATTATTTGAACAACGTATTGAAATTCCTAGCGTATAACGCCAGGAATGTGTAAATTAATATTTATATGCATTATAGGCCTTTCTAAAGTAATTTATAGATCTGAATATCATATATTGTCTAACAAACGAATTATTTAAGTTAAGATTTTAATTATGCCAGATACAATTAAGTCTCATCGCACACAAGAAGATTCGTCGGCGGATTTTTTTTTTATTTATATATAAAAAAGAGTTTTTAAATTCTTGTAAAGCCACTATAGCATGCATAGCGTTTCGGGTAGGTCCTTAATCCTAATGTTTATCCCGGAGTATGACCCGCCAAATCGTTTAACAACCTATTCTCTGTCGGGTGAACAGTTAAGGATTGTCGTCCGGTCAGTCCTTCCCGGCCAGGATCAAAGGGCTTGTAACGGTTCTATTGTTACGTAAAGTATGGTGACAAATAAACACAGACACTAAGATACTATATATATATTTGGTCGAATATACAGAAGTACACAGGTGATACTTTGGTGTGAGTTGAGCGCACTGAGCGTCGGTACAGTATCTCGCAAGTGTCTGCTCTAGACCACACTTGAAAGTAGACTAGTTAATGTTTGATTGATTGATTGATGAAGATTAAGCCACCCAAAAGGTGGCACGGGCATGAATAGCCCGTAAGTGGTGGCCCTTTTAAGCCATTACCAGTATCAAGAGCTGATACTGGAGATCTGTGGAGGTGCGAATGCACCTTGCATGACGGGAGATGTCTCCCTTGTGAATGTGTTAAGATGAAGATGAAGCCACCCAAAAGGTGGCACGGGCATAAATAGCCCGTAAGTGGTGGCCATTTTAAGCCATTACCAGTATCAGGAGCTGATACTGGAGATCTGTGGAGGTGTGACTGCACCCTGCGAGACGGGAGATGTCTCCCGTGCTGAAGAATCGATTGATTGATTGATAAAGATTAAGCCACCCAAGAGGTGGCACGGGCATGAATAGCCCGTAAGTGGTACAATTTTTTTTTTCTCAGTATTCTGAGGTTGCATTTAACCATCAAGCTGTTATCGCGGGGGAGGATACTGCTTCACAGTCTTTATGAGGGTGTCCAGCTGCTGGACACCTTTGTTGACCAGGAGAGTGGCTGTGTTGATGGCTTCAGGGTGGCCACTGCATGATTCAGGAACTCTTAAAGCTCTTCTAAGGTCATTGGTTGCTTCACATTCCAGAAGATAGTGAAGTAATGGCTTTTCTGTGACAGTTTGGCAGAAGATGCACTCTCTCTGTCGGGGTTCACCAATCTCCCAGTTGCATCTGTAACCTAGACGTAGTCTATATAGCCTAACTGCTATTTCCCTGTGGATTCCTTTTGGGATATTTAACCTTTCTAATTTGGTTGCCTGAAGTTAATGTTTGCTATTCTGCTGCTTATATGCTCAGGCAACACCTCACCGTGTTGCCCGGGCAACGCCTCACCTCATTCATCTCCAAAGGTTGACATGAATATTAACAATGCATTTGGAGCGAGTATATAATTGGGATAATCTACTCGCTACAAAATCTTAATGGATTTGTAACTGTGCACTGTGTTAGATAATGTTCCAGTGGTCTGTTGGGCATTTCTCCACAGTGCTGACACTTCCTCTCATCTTCCAGAACCTGTAAGCCTATTTCCCATGCACATGGGTATCCAAGCCTGATGCGATGTAAGTGTACTACTGTTGTTCTACTGCTCCTTTTCATCAACATAAGTGGTTCGTAGTTGGTTGAATTCTTGTACCAACCCACAGATCCTGATGTTGCAACTGCTGTGTTGTGGTCACTGTACATTTTTTGCATTGCTCTGTTTCTAATTACTTTCTTAATCTGTGATAGACTGTGGTATGTAAATGTTCTTTTCTTCTTTTAGTTGCAAGTTTTGCAGCTCCGTCTGCAATGTCATTTCCTATTATTCCCACATGACTTGGCACCCAGTTGATAAGTACCCGTCGGTCTTGTCGTTTGAGGGTTTGTATTAATGATATGATGTTTGTGATGTTATCACGTATGTGTTCTCGTTGCAAGGTTTCAATGGCTGTTCTCGAATCTGTATGTATGATAACATGTTGTCGGTGTTCAGCAAGAGCATGTTCCAAAGCCTTTTGAATGGCTAGCATTTCAGTTTGTAAAGACGAACATCCAACATCCAACTATGAGAGTCTCCAACTATTTCCAGAGTTTCCTGCTTTAACTGCAGCTCCGGTTTCTTGTCCCTGCTGGTCTACTGATCCATCTGTGAAGTAAGTGAAGCTGTCAGATGCCAAGTTTGCTCCTATATGCATCTGTGCAATGTTACGTAGCAGATGAGGATTAGTCTGGTTCTTTTTCCTTCAAGAACCATAATCTTAAAGTCTGCTGGCGGAGATTCCCAAGGGGCTTGTATAACAAAGTCTGCATGTATTTTATCGACACCACTCTCAGTGACTGTGTTTGTTATATCGAATGTATTGATGGTGTTTATCGCACAATGGGTCCACCTGTTGCTATTGGAGGCTCTTCTGTCCAGAGTTAGTGCTCCAGTGATTATATCTTTAAGTGAACTGATTCTGGGTCTAGTTCTATTCTCAAGACCAAGTTCAATCTTGGTCAGCACGCACGCAGCAATACCTTTTTCCCTTATTTCAATCGATGTTAACTTCGTTTCTAGTCTTAGGGTCAGTATTTTAGTCCATCTGGGAGCTCCTGTTATGACTCGCAATGCATCGTTTAGAATAACCTCAACGTTTGCCCACTGACCAGGAGAAAGAGTGAGTAAGGCAGGCACTGCATAATCAACTAGGGAACGAACGGCGTGTATGTCAAACATTCTTAACACTTTGTGTCCCGCTCCTAGACGAGGCCCTGTGATTGCTCTCATTATATTTAGTCGTGATTTTGCTTTCTCCTTCAGATATTGAATTTGCTTGTTGAATATCATTTTAGCATCTATCCACACTCCGAGATATTGATATTGTGTAACCAACTGAAGGTTAATGTCTTGAATACGTAGGTGCCTGTCTGGAGTGTTGCTGCCTTGTCTCATCGCCTTAAACTTCTGTGCAGATATTTTTAGCCCTAAAATGAAGCATTCAGATATTACTTTATCTAATGCACCTTGTGCTTTATTTATTCGTGAAGGACCTGTAATGACTAATGCTATATCATCATATAAATACAGTTTTGATATTCCTAGAGTACGACTTAATCAAACTAGAAATGCTCTACAAATCAAGGGGCCCAGAATGTGGAATGACCTTCCCAACCATGTTAAAGACTGTACCTCTCTCAACCAGTTTAAGTTTAAGTTAAAAACGAAGCTATACCTAATAAATTCCCTGTAACCTACCTTACCCTTCTATTGTCAACCAATGTCTGTTTTTTTTTAAAGAGCGCTGTTTGTCGACATAATTGTATTTGTTCTGCTTTTTCATCTATGTTTTCATTTCTTGTTTTCATTCTACTCATTATGCTCAATTAGTATTAAGCTTGTCATTTAAGTTTATCATGCCCGAAACGCTTTGCGTAATAGTGGCTTTAGGCATTGTATGTACTAGCGTTACCTGTAAGTCAACCAATCTTTGTAAAAATTTATTGTATGTATGTACCTTACCTAAATAAACATTTTATTTTTATTTTATTTTTTATTATCAGCATAGCTTAGCAATTTAACCCTTTCTGCAAATGTCATAGTAACGAGGTTTTCCATAAGGATGCTAAAACACTAGGACTGAGGACTCCTCCTTGTGGAGTCCCATTTTAATGCAAGTGGTAGTCCGACACTTGTCCTTGCAACTTTACTCTGGCATACCTGTGACTTAGTATGCTGCCCTGAGGAACACCAATGTTGATGGGTAGAGTGGGAGAAATTGAATTATTCACAGAAACATACTGGAGCCTGTCAGTAAGGTAAGATTTGAGGTATTGCAGGGAGTGTCCTCTGACTCCATAATGATGTAATTTAAGAAGAAGGTTTTGGTGGTTGACAGTGTCAAAAGCCTTACACAGGTCCATTAATAACCCAACAGGGAACTCATTTTTATCAAGAACTGCATGAATCAAGTTAATCATACTAATAAGTGCATCGTTAGTGCTTTTTTTTGGGTCTGAAGCCATATTGACAAGAGCTAAGTATATTGTGTTTGGCTAGATAAGAGTAAAGCTGCTTGTAGATTAGTTTTTCAAATATTTTTGACAAGTTAGGCAGGATTGCTATAGGTCTGTAGTTGTTAACATCTGTGAGATCCCCACATTTGTGGACAGGGGTTACTCTCGCTTTTTTTAGAATATCTGGAAAGGTTTGGAGTTCAAGTGACTTGTTGAAGAGCAATGCAATAGCAGGGGCTAAAGATGGAGGCTTTTTTGTAAATTAAAGTTGGTATCTCCTCAAGGGCACCAGACTTGATTTTAAGGGAAAGGATTATATCATTAACATCAGTGGAATTAGTAGGCTTTAGGTACAGAGACTGTGGATAGTTACCTGTAAGATAGTCCTTAACATCAGTACTGGAAGATGGAATGTCATTTGCAAGGGATGACCCAATGGAAGAGAAGAACCTATATTGAACTCAATAGCAGAATCAGAACATTTTATAATAATAATTATAATTCAGAACAATAATTTTGTTGACACAGTTTACATTTGGTCAGGTCTACATCAGCAGATAATGAGAATTCCCAGAGATACTTATAACCGAGTCTAAGCCGAGCAGTAGTAACATCTAGAAGTCTGATGTTACTACTGCTCGGTTTAGACTCGGTTATAACGTTAATGTTATCACAAGTTATTTCATCCAGGGTAAAACTTTCACCTATGTTAATTACTCTTGTTAGTTAGTTTAATTTATATCTTATCGTCATAGCGTGTTTGAATCACCAAGACGAAAAACTGTCATATATAAACAGGGAGAAAAAACAAAATAACAGGGACCATGTACAAATAATGTCGATAAAATCAATAAATAATACATATGATTAGTTTCAACTTAACTATAGTTGTAAAGCTCAGTAATTAAAAATAAAATATGATTAATATGTAAATAAACAATAAATGCGTTTTTAAAAATGGTTAAAAACCCCAAACAAATCTCCTGAAGAGGACCCGGAGATAACGAGGGGAAGGTGGTGGTGGGAGGATCAATACGGGTCAGTGTGTGGCCAGGCTGGTGCTCCTCTGGGACTCCTGCTGCTCTCTTGGTGAGGTAAGTGCACCACTCTGTTACTGCTGCTGGTGCACGCCAGGGGTGGAGCTGGAGCTCATGGGTGCCATTATGTCACAGGGGTTGGTCAAGTGAATGTTTGACACATGGGGTGCCATTATGTCACAGGGGTTGGTCAAGTGAATGTTTGACACATGGGGTGCTATTATGTCACAGGGGTTGGTCAAGTGAATGTTTGACACATGGGTGCGATTATGTCAAGGGTTCGTCAAGTGAATGTTTGACACATGGGTGCGATTATGTCAAGGGTTCGTCAAGTGAATGTTTGACACATGGGTGCCATTATGTCACAGGGGTTGGTAAAGTGAATGTTTGACACATGGGTGCCATTATGTCAAGGGTTCGTCAAGTGAATGTTTGACACATGGGTGCCATTATGTCACAGGGGTTGGTCAAGTGAATGTTTGACACATGGGTGCCATTAATGTCACAGGGGTTGGTCAAGTTAATGTTTGACACATGGGGTGCCATTAATGTCACAGGGGTTGGTCAAGTGAATGTTTGACACATGGGTGCCATTATGTCACAGGGGTTCGTCAAGTGAATGTTTGACACATGGGTGCCATTATGTCACAGGGGTTGGTCAAGTGAATGTTTGACACATGGGTGCCATTAATGTCACAGGGGTTAGTCAAGTTAATGTTTGACACATGGGGTGCCATTAATGTCACAGGGGTTGGTCAAGTGAATGTTTGACACATGGGGTGCCATTAATGTCACAGGGGTTGGTCAAGTGAATGTTTGACACATGGGTGCCATTGTGTCACAGGGGTTGGTCAAGTGAATGTTTGACACATGGGGTGCCAGTTGTCCAACACCAGGGGGTGCCAGTTGTCCAACACCAGGGGGTGCCAGTTGTCCAACACCAGGGGGTGCCAGTTGTCCAACACCAGGGGGTGCCAGTTGTCCAACACCAGGGGGTGCCAGTTGTCCAACACCAGGGGGTGCCAGTTGTCCAACACCAGGGGGTGCCAGTTGTCCGACACCAGGGGGTGCCAGTTGTCCGACACCAGGGGGTGCCAGTTGTCCGACACCAGGGGGTGCCAGTTGTCCGACACCAGGGGTCTGGTGCTAACCTAGCACAACTGAACTTATATTAATAGCCTGACTTAAAAATAATAATAATTTATTCATAATGAATTCATACAATGTACTCAAGAAGAGATCAAATATTCATACAGGGGATACACATAAAATGAACTACCAAACCATGTACACTAACTTAACCAAGTTTTGCACATTTTTTGTATTTATGTATATAATTTATTATATATAACTGTTACGGCCCTCTTGGGTCACAACTGGGTTCTTTCTCTGATGTTAATAGAGATTGGGTATCCGGCCCCAAGCTAGTAGTGGCTTTCAAGGGGTGTGCTCCGTAACGCAAGTAAATTAAAGGGGAAGGGATAAAACTGCTCGGAAATAAATATATATTCACCACCACCAATAAATAAATATATAAACAGTCACACGCTGTTACTATAACTACACTTGATAACAATCACTTGTCCTCCTCCGAAGACACAGGATGCTCTGCTTAACGGTGCTCAAGACGAGTAGCCCTGGTTCTCTTCTTGTGGCCTCTAGACGAATCCTTAGATTCTCCCAGCGAGTTTACCCCGGCCACAGGCCAGCCAAATCACAGTCCCACTGGGTGCACCGTCGTGGAGGCCGTCAACCACAAATCCAGCCTTTAGCTGGCAGGTTCCAATCAGCAACGCTGTGTAGGCCACTCCACGACCGATACTAGGGTTGCGAGCCCTAGGCAGGAGCCTCGTGTGATTTCACAGATCACTCTCCTCACCACAACACCCCAGTGGTTAGTCTTCTCCACCAGTCAGTCCCGGGTACGACAAATCCTCAACTGCCACGTCACAGGCAGGCTAACACTACAGTGTTCATCCGGGGGGTGACTCACAGCTTCTACAGCAAATGCGTGGAGGTTCTACGGCTGCCTTGGGTAGACTGATCCAACTTCCATTACAGCAGTCCCAGGTCGACTCTGTAATCAGACACGTCATCAGTAATAGGGACACTCTAGGGCACCTCACTTACAGGCTTAGACACAAACGCCCACCTATCCACTCCATAGATGGCATTGCTGTCTAAGCTCCACCTCACCAGAGGTCAGCAGCGGCTGTGTTATGAGCTGATCAGGACGGGAAACCAGCCCCCGTGGCTGGTATATCCTGTCCTCGCTAGATGGCGCCGTCCATTTGGAGGGGGTTTCGGGAGCTGACCCACAGATGGCGTGGTCGTCACTGCTCCGTGCTCGGATGCTGGGCTTGGGTCCGTAACAATAACCCAATAATGTATCATTTTAACTATCTGCAGTATTAATGATTTTGTTTTAATGCCTCAAACTTGATGCAAAACCTTGTTTACCTGAATTTATCTGAGGTACACTGTAGTGGCCTCAATGAGGACAGGAAGCTGGCAGCTTGTCAACACTCCCCCCCCCCCATTTGTCCTGATGATTTTGTCGAGCTGGATTTTAAAGTTCAGAAGCATTTTGGCATTTCCTGCTTCTTTGGGTAGGTGGTTCCATGGGTTTATAACTGTGGGTGAAAAAGCATCTGTTTTCTGTCCCACATTGTGGTTTGTTGAGCTTGAAACCATTGACCCTCATTTGTGTTGCATCTGACCTTTTTAAAGAAGTGGGTTGGATCACAGCCCTCCAAATTATTCAATATTTTAAAAGTTTCGATGAGATCTGCCTTATCGTGTCTGGTTTGCAGTATTGTTATGCCTGTGGCCCTCAATCATTCCTGGTACGAGAGTTGGCCTGGTTCTGGAATAACCTTTGTCGCCAGGTGTTGAACTTTCCAGAACACGGCTGTGTTATTTTGAAGATGTGGTCTTCATGCTTGGATACAATAATCTGAGTAGGCTCGCAGTTGAATCACTACCTTTTTTTCCTTGAAGCCAAAGGTACGTTGACTATTCCTAGGGTTTGGTTAGCGTTGTTTTACTGCAGCTCCCACTTGTGCAACTTCCAGTGAGTAATGGATTCTGACTCCAAGGTCCTTTTCATCATCAGTCTACTGCAAGGTAATGCTGTTAATTTAGTAGATATGACGTGGATTGTTATGCCCCACATGCAAGGTCTTGCATTTTTCGACATTAAAAAGCATTTACCAGTCTTTCTGGCCATTTGTTGAGTTCATGTAGATTTCTTTGTAAGGCCACAATATAATTTTCACTTTCCCCTTTACCATAAATATTAGTATCATCAGCTGATTTGATAATGTGGGTTGTAAAATTTCATCTGTCATTGATGTATATAACAAAGAGGGTTGGCTCCAAAATGGACTCTAGCAGTACCCAACTCATCACATTTCTCCAGTCAGATTCATTTCTGTTGAAGACGACCCTTTTGTTTTCCTTGTTTTAACCATTGTTTTATCCATTCAAGTATTTTACCATTTATTCCATGGGCCTGTAATTTCTTTGCTAGTTTACTTTCTAAATAAAGATGTAATAAAACAAAACCTAATCTCTCATTTATGAATTTTAAAGAATGTGGCTCCCTTGAGGCAACTTAAAAATGAGGCAACTTTTTGTTTAGTCATGTTACAGTCTTAAGGTTTTGTGACTAAGAATGTTGCCCTTTTCCAACTAGCTCCAAAGTTAAGCCAGGTACTGTATATTCATACTCAAAGTTTATGGGGCTTAAGTTAATTTTGAGTAGTACACTGATTTCTGTGACACTTGACCTGGTGAAAAGTTTTTATTTTTTCATTTGGAAAAAGTTGTTGACTTGGTTGTTTTATATGCCTATCCCTCTGGTAAAACTTTGTGGTTACCTTCAGATTGCAGTTACTAACACATAAAAGATAAACATCCCATATATTTTGTGGAATTTTATCATAAATGTATTAATCCCAGCTAGATTTATAGATATATGGAATACAACCCTGTGAAATTGTTTACTGTATATGTTTGGTACTGGAATAGTGTAATTGCTATGGAATTACAATGCAATAATTAGTAGTACTGTGCATAAAGAAAAATGCTCTTAATGCTGTATTGTATAATTCATGTTGTTACCTTTAGCTCATATTTGTTTCCATCCTTTTGATGGGTAATTTTAGTATTGGATGGGTAATATTATGTATTAGGACAATAAAATTATATCCTTGAATAAATGTGATTGGTCATTCCATTCCATTTAATCATTGGAAGTCATAAATGTGTGATCCTTTTACTATTTTGACCCACCACGCAGACAATGCCAAGAACTTACAGTCTCCGTGGTGTAGTGGTAAGACACTCGCCTGGCGTTCCGCGAGCGCTATGTCATGGGTTCGTATCCTGGCCGGGGAGGATTTACTGGGCGCAATTCCTTAACTGTAGCCTCTGTTTAACGCAACAGTAAAATGTGTACTTGGATGAAAAAACGAATCTTCGCGGCAGGGGATCGTATTCCAGGGACCTGCCTGAAACGCTACGCGTACTAGTGGCTGTACAAGAATGTAACAACTCTTGTATATATCTCAAAAAAAAAAAAAAAAAACTGCAGCAGCTCAAATCTGTAGTAGAGCACAGCCTAATCATAGTTACTCAGAAAATGTATCAATAAAATGATCCACTGGAGCAAGGCATTTTTGAGCACATATTTTTGTAATGTATCCTTTAGTGATGGGTACTACAAAGGATTTTTATCTTATGCTGCAAGAATAATCTAAGTAGTGGTCTAAGTAGAGTGACTGATAAAAGTTCAACTCCATCAAGTACAGTACATAAAAATTAAGAATTTAAGGTGTGTGGGAGCCTGACATTCTGCTGAAAATGCGGTAGACTGAATAATTATCATAAATTATCCAACCTAATATGTTCTAAATCTTTGTAATTCAGAAATTCACCTGCATACTTGGAAACATTGTATAAAATGTGTTTATCCCTATAATTCTGAATCCACATGTTAGCATAATGCATAGGCTTGTAACATATTGGAAAAGGAAGTAAAAGAAATGAAGAATGAGTGAAGAAACTAATGTGGTGAGAGGGGGGTTAGAGAGGTGGAAGGGGAAGGGAAAGTTTAGAATGAGAGGGAGAGAATGAGATCAAAGAAGAAAGTAGAAGAGTAGAAAGTAAGAGTAGAAGTATAGTAGAGAGATAGAAAAGGTTGCTGCCACAATCCATTCAAGTTAGTTAACAATAAGACAAGGAATGGAACTTGTCTGCACAACAATATTATCTGATATTATCATGTATCAAGTGTAAGCATGTACTCGTATAACCAAGAATCTTTAAGTCTAAATCTTAAGCCAGTAAACTTAAGAGGGCTCTTCACTCTAGCTTTCAAAATCCAAGATCTATGGATCAGAATTAGACAATTTATAAAAATAAGTTAATCAATTATATATTTACTATTATAGGTATCATAATTCAACCATATTACCTGATATTCAAGGGTCAACATTAATACACCAATTTGAGTCACCACACAAGAAATTGAGAACACCCAAGGCTGACTGCCCCTGAACATCACACAACACCTAAGTTGAAATCACAATATTCGTCACCTTACAAGTTCACTCACCAAGGTCTCTGAGACTAAGCTGGTAGAGAGAGGGAGAGGGGGGGGGGGTAAGGGTTAGTACGGCTGACAGTCCTCCACCCGGGTTCGGGTCGCTCGCAGATTGACGATCTGGCTCCATTCGGACTGCGGCCTGGTGGTTCATTGTCTGAACCGCAGGGATTCAATGCAGTCCTTGGCTCTTTGGAGCTGGTTGCTTCAGGTGACTCGTCTGCTGAGTTTTCGGGGTTGGGCTCTCCTAGCGGTTCATGTTCGGTGGGTGACCAACATTCTGGCGGATGGCCTGTCTCGGTTCGTTCCCCTGTCCACCGAATGAGTTGGATTCATTCGACTATGCCGACTCATTCAGTTGGGTCTGTCAGACATTTGGGTGCCTAGAGGTGGACCTCTTTGCGTTGGCGTGGTCATGGTGTTTTCTGGTACTGTATATGTAGCGCTCTTCCCCGACTGTGAGGCCATCGGGGTCGATGCCTTCCATCGAGGTGGGGATTCCTGTACCTCTTTTCCCCAGTTCAGCTGTTGTTCCAGGTCCTGGCTCGCTTGGAGACTTAACAGGGAAGAGTAGTCCTCTTGGACCCTTTGTGGCCAGCCCAGCCTTGGTTTTAGGCACTACTTGCTTGGTGGCTGAACCCGGACGTCTTCCCACGGCTCCGCCTCTTTCAGTAGATCGGTCTGGTCTGTCACGTGGCTGGTTCGATCTTTTCGAGTCTTAGCGTTTGGTCTTTTTGACTCGGGTCTATCATTATCTGTATGGTGATCAGGTGGTGTCCTTGATGGTATCCCACCTGCGGGCTTTGTCTCGACAGCAGTATGAAGTTTTCTGGCAGTTCTTTCGTTTCTTTCTCTCGCTTCGTAGGTATTCCTTGCTCTTGGTTCGGGTTGTCTTGTCCCTTCTCTCGTGATTGTTTCAGGACCGTCTTCTTGTGCCGAATACTGTCACCTCGTATCATGCGGTACTGGCGGAGCCGCTGCAGCTTGCTTTCAGTATTGATATTACTTCAGCATCGTTTCGCAAACTGTCTCGTGCGTTGTTTCACCTCCGGCCTGCTCCTGCGATGTTTGAGCCATCCTGGTCTTTGGATCAGGTGCTTTCTTTTCTTTCTTCTCGGTTTGTTGTGGCCCTTTCGGTCCAGGATTGTTTTTCTAAGGCTCTTTTCCTGTTGGCATTGGCCTCTGAGGGTCGTGTCAGGGAGCTTCATGCTCTCCTCCGGCACAGGGGTTTCTGCTCTTTTTGTCCTCGTAATAGGATTGTTCGCTTGCAGCTGTCTCCTTTTCTGGCGAAGAATGAGACAGCTGCTTTCCAGAGGGGTCCTTGGGTTGTTGATATTTGGTTGGTCAGGCTGGGGGTGTATCGTGTGTTGTGTCCGGTTGCGGCTCTCCGCCGTTATTTGTAATTACCTAAGTGTAGTTACAGGATGAGAGCTACGCTCGTGGTGTCCCGTCTTCCCAGCACTGTCATATAACGCTTTGAAACTACTGACGGTCTTGGCCTCCACCACCTTCTCACCTAATTTGTTTCAACCGTCTACCACTCTGTTTGTGAAAGTGAATTTTTGTGCGCCACGGCTTCTGTGTTCCGGGACGTGCTTTGGGTTGATCCGGTTTCCCTTCTTCTCTGTTTCAGGGTGTGGGTCTCTCAGGTCGTCCACAGGGTTATTCGGTCCAGCCAGCCTGCGGTCTATCCCCATACCCACAATGTTCATAAGTTTGCTGCTCTTGCTGCCGTCTTTGGCTGACATTCGGGCGCGAGGATTTTGGCGGTCGCACAGGGTCCTGGCTGCGCGTTACCTTGTGCATGTTCCTGGGCCTTGTTGGGCCTGTCACTCTGGGTCGGCAGTTGCAGCCAGTTGTCTCGGCTTTGCGTCGAGGAGCGAGCAACAACTGCCTCCCGGGTAACTCCCTCTTGTTTTCATCTTTTGGTATGTAGCTCCGGGGAGCCAACAGGGCTTCCCCCCAAAAAACCAGCGTTGAATGTAATGAAATGCCATTTTCTGGGAGAGACCCGGAGGTTCCCTGGCAACCCTCCCTCTCTCCGGTCGCAGTTTTTCACGTGTTTTTGATATCCAGCCTCAGAACTGGAGTCATGGGTAGCCAGTGCGAGAAGTCTGGGGCTCTCCCTTCCCCCTTCCGGGGAGAGTGGAGGTGCGCAGACGGTTGCACAGCGATGTGGTGACGTCATGTTCGTTAGCTCATTTTTGTTTGGAGAGTTCTGTCCACTAGTTAGACTCTCGGTAGCAATTTCTTAACCAGAAGAAGGGTTTGTTTTGGGATGCTTACCTTTTTAGGTGTTTGACCCGTTTGATGGCATACATAAAATGCTTCCAACCACACGGGGGTTTCTATAGGCCAGTGCTCCTTGTTTCTTTTTGAGGGGGCGAGGTTCTGGCTCGTGATCCTCGGTAGGCCTAAGAACTCTATTCACACTGACTGGTGCCTAAGTCTAATAGTAGTATATCAGGCTGGATAGCTCCGGGAAACCTCCGGGTCTCGCCCAGAAAATGGCATTTCATTACATTCAACGCTGTTTTTTTTTTTTTTATGGTTCAGGTTATCACCAGTCTTTTGTAGACGACCTAGTTAGAAGTACACTAATGAATATGTGTGTCTATCAGGCTTTATATTTTCTCAAATTTCTTGCTTAGCCTGACCACCTCACTTTCTTTATAATGTATTGGCAGCTTCTATGTACAGTGTCTGTGTGACATGTAATCAATTTCTTGCAGTCAAAATGTCATCTTTGGTAATGTCTGCTCTCAACTTGGTGTTTCTCTACATTGCTTTAAGTAATTATCTGTATGTCTTGGCAGTGATGAGTGTTTGTTTGGTCTTTGTCTACTGATTTTTGTCTATTTCAGGTGAAAAAAAAGGATATTTTGTTGTTATTCGGGGTCATGGTTCGTAAGGATGCTAGCACGCACATCCCGGAGACTAGATATCACCGTCTTAGTCAAGAGGATGATGGATTTGTAGATGCTCAGTTCAAGGTATTTTGTTGACATTTGCTCTGTGGCTTATGTGGTCCTCAAGTGTACTGGCTTGTCTAACTTTTCTTTTGTTTATTTTTTATTCTGATTCACTACTATCTTCCCTTATTTCTTATGATTTTCTTTTATTGTGGCATCTGGTGTTGGTTTCCTTAATTAGAAATTATCAGGGCAACTAAAGACATTTTCTAGGATGGAACCACAATATTTGTTTAAATTCAGGGTACATGTTTTCATCCAGGTGAATAGAGGGATTAGATGAAAGTAAATGTTGCTAAAATGCTTCTGTTATGGCACTCAAATTGAAATCGAAACCAAGACTTTTCAGAAGCTGATGGCACAGCTAAAAAATTTCACAATAAGACATAACTGGGAGAGATCATAATGGAATATTAGCTGGGAGGAAGAGATGTCACAATGGGACATCAGCTGGGAGAAATAATAATTTAATTTTTTTGTCGAGTACAGGACGCCTATGTGTATACAGTACTGTATATATTTTAGGCTTGTAGCGAGGTCCTCTAAGGTCAAACTATTGACCCTCCCCCAGGATGCAACCCCACAACAGCTGCCTAATTCCTGGGACCCTACTTACTGGAATGTAAACATTAGGTGAAAGGTAACATGCCCAACCATTTATGTCCTGCTTGAGAATCGATCCCAGGATTCCCAGTTTTGAGTCGAGACTGAGGCCAACTGAACTATGAGACCCCTAATGAGACATAACTGGGACAGAAGTGTGTTAAATACGGTGCATTAGCTAAAAGATGCAATGTGTTACATGTGATGGATTTATTTTGTTATGGGTGTTCCATAGTGTGAGAGATATCGTGATGTGTCAATGAACAAGTCGTGATATATCGCGATACTGTGATTTCTCTGTGAATTGAAAGAGGGGGGCATCAGAGGTAGAACTACTGGACGACATAGCCTGAGTGCATGGGGGGGGGGGATTTGTGTGAAACCCAACCCTAGTTTGGCTTCAGTGGAAGCCTTGGGAATCCTAGTGGGTGCAGTTGTACCCCAGGTTGCAATTCTTTTACCATGTTGTGGCACAGTCGACTAATGTGTGCCTGGGAACACCCAGCACATAGGTTCGAACCCTCATCACAGCTCCTGTGGATTTGTTCATTGATATATCACAATAATGTGATTTGTGTGTGTGTGTGATTTGTGTAATTACCTAAGTGTAATTACCTAAGTATAATTACAGGATGAGAGCTACGCTCGTGGTGTCCCGTCTTCCCAGCACTCTTTGTCAAATAATGCTTTGAAATTATTGACGGTTTTGGCCTCCACCACCTTCTCCCCTAATTTGTTCCAACTGTCTACCACTCTGTTTACTAAAGTGAATTTTCTTATTTCTTTGGCAGCTTTGTTTTATTAGTTTAAATCTATGACATCTTGTTTTTTGAAGTTCCAGGTCTCGGGAATTCTTCCCTATCAATTTTATCAATTCCTGTTATTATTTTGTACGTAGTTATCATATCGCCTCTTTTTCTTCTATCTTCTAGTTTTTGCATATTTAATGCCTCTAACCTCTCTTCGTAGCTCTTGCCCTTCAGTTCTGGGAGCCACTTAGTAACATGTTTTTGCACCTTTTCCAGTTTGTTGATGTGCTTCTTAAGATATGGGCACCACACAACCACTGCATATTCTAGCTTTGGCCTAACAAAAGTCGTGAACAATTTCTTTAGTATTTCGCCATCCATGTATTTAAAAGCAGTTCTGAAGTTAGAAAGTGGCTCCTTGCACAACATTCTTTATGTGGTCCTCAGGTGATAGTTTTCTATCTAGAACCACCTCTAGATCTCTTTTTTTTTTTTTATCAGAATTCTTTAAAGATTTCTCGCACAATTTATAGGTTGTGTGGGGTCTGTTCTCCTATTCCACATTCCATAACATGACATTTATTCACATTAAATTCCATTTGCCAAGTGGTGCTCCATATACTTATTTGGTCCAGGTCTTCTTGAAGGGCATGACAATCATCTAAGTTTCTTATCCTTCCTATTATCTTATCATCAGCAAACATGTTCATATAATTCCGTATACCAACTGATAGATCATTTATGTAGACAATGAACATCATTGGTGCAAGAACTGAACCCTGTGGTACTCCACTTGTGACATTTCTCCAGTCCGATACATTGCCTCTGATTACTGCCCTCATTTTTCTATCAGTCAGAAAATCTTTCATCCATGTTAGAAGCTTATCTGTCACCCCTCCAATATTTTCCAGTTTTCAGAACAACCTCTTATGTGGAACTCTGTCGAAAGCCTTTATTAGGTCAGATAGATGCAGTCAACCCAGTGTGTGTGTGTGTGTGTGTGTGTGTGTGTGTGTGTGTGTGTGTGTGTGTGTGTACTCGCCTAATTGTACTCGCTTAATTGTGCTTGCAGGGGTTGAGCTCTGGCTCTTTGATCCCGCCTCTCAACCGTCAATCAACAGGTGTACAGGTTCCTGAGCCTATTGGGCTCTATCATATCTACACTTGAAACTGTGTGTGGAGTCAGCCTCCACCACATCACTTCCTAATGCATTCCATTTGTCAACCACTCTGACACTAAAAAAGTTGTTTCTAATATCTCTGTGGCTCATTTGGGCACTCATTTTCTACCTGTGTCTCCTAGTGCGTGTGCCCTTTGTGGTAAATAGCCTGTCTTTATCTACCCTATCAATTCCCTTGAGAATCTTGAATGTGGTGATCATGTCCCCCCTAACTCTTCTGTCTTCCAGCGAAGTGAGGTTAAATTCCCATAGCCTCTCCTCGTAGCTCATACCTCTCAGCTTGGGTACTAGTCTGGTGGCAAACCTTTGAACCTTTTCCAGTTTGGTCTTATCCTTGACTAGATATGGACTCCATGCTGGGGCTGCATACTCCAGGATTGGCCTGACATAAGTGGTATACAAAGTTCTGAATGATTCCTTGCACAAGTTTCTGAATGCCGTTCTTATGTTGGCCAGCCTGGCATATGCCGCTGATGTTATCCTCTTGATGTGGGCTGCAGGGGACAGGTCTGGCGTGATGTCAACCCCCAAATCTTTTTCTTTCTCTGTCTCATGAAGAATTTCATCTCCCAGATGATACCTAGTATCTGGCCTCCTGCTCCCTACGCCTATCTTCATTACATTACATTTGCTTGGGTTAAACTCTAGCAACCATTTGTTGGACCATTCCTTCAGCTTGTCTAGGTCTTCTTGAAGCCTCAAGCAGTCCTCCTCTGTCTTAATCCTTCTCATAATTTTGGCAATTTTGTGTGTGTGTGTGTGTGTGTGTGTGTGTGTGTGTGTGTGTGTGTGTACCTGCCTTTAAAACCTTTGCACAGTCAGGATTATATAGAACCCTGTTGCATACAATTTCTGGGGGGAGCCCCGTTGGCTCCCCAGGACTATCCAGGCTGAATGGATATGTATAACTTTCTGGCATCAAAGTGCTTGGAGTTCTTGCCTACCGGGGACCACGAGCCAGAACCTAACCCTCCTCAGAGAGACACGAAGAGCAGTGGCCTATAGAAACCCCCGTGTGGTTGGGAGCATTCTGTGTCTGCCATCGACCGGGATTGGCACCCAGAAAGGTAGGCACCCCAAAACAAACCCCAATTCTGGTTAAAATATGGCTACCAAAAGCCGAACGAGTGGACAAAACTCCCCAAACAAAATTATCTAACTAGCATGACGTCATAACGTCGCCGTGCTGCTGTCTGCGCAACCACCCCCCTCCTATGAGAGGGGGAAGGGGGAGCCCCAGACCCATCCGCCGGCGACCCAACCTTCAGTTCTTGGCTGATGTGATTACTGGCTGGTAGAGTGCCTCTGGCTCCCACTTTGTTTCAGTTCTATGCCTTGTGGTGTGGGCTGTCTCTACCGGTAGGGTTTGAGCCAGGAGTAATATTCCACGGTACTTGGGCTGCATGGGCCTAGGGCTCTCTTTCCTAGGGGCCCCTGTAAGTACTGCCCTTGGGGCTTGGAGCCACCTTCCACAAATCTCCTTGGGTTCCACCTCCGCTGTGTCCTTTACTGCTCGGTACTGGGCCGCCCTTGGAGTTTGCTGCGTTTTTTTTGCCCTTGTTTGTCTCTGGGTAGGAGGTGGTTTTCGTCACTGGTAGGGCCACGGAGTACTGCACAGCTAGTTTTCACCAATAACAGCGGCCGGCTCTGTTCCACCTGGGTACGTTGTCCTCTTGTGGGTTTTTTCTTTTGTTTTTGCCTGGTGGGATGGGGGGGAGGAAGAGGGTTCTGCCTTGGTGGTCCCCCTTTGCTGTTCTAGGAGTTAAATGGATTTTCGGTTGGTGGTCCTCCTCGCATGGCCCCCGTGAGTGGTCACGTCCCGGGGGACGGGGGGGTTCAGCTTTTAGAAGTTTGTTTGGTAGAATTGGGCGCTGGTTTGCAGTACCCTGCCTGGTCTTTCCTTGGTGTGTAACCAAGGCTAAGGGGCCCTGGAAAACCCCATGGGGGCTCCGTGGTCCTATGGGTGTGACCCCTGAGTCCCCCCCTCGCGTTTTGCGAGTTTGACGGTTGATCTGTCCCCTTGTCGGGACCGGCACCTTGAGGGAGCCAGTCGGCCGAGCAGACAGCACACTGGACTTGTGATTCTGTGGTCCTGGGTTCGATCCCAGGCGCCGGCGAGAAACAATGGGCAGAGTTTCTTTCACCCTATGCCTCTGTTACCTAGCAGTAAAATAGGTACCTGGGTGTTAGTCACCTGTCACAGGCCGCTTCCTGGGGGTGGAGGCCTGGTCGAGGACCGGGCTGCGGGGACACTAAAAAAACCCGAAATCATCTCAAGATAATCATCTCAAGATTGTCTCAGGGTGACACTCGTCTGTTTTGCCTCTGCCTTGCTGCCTGTTGGGTCATTAGTTCTTTTGACCCGGAGTCATGCAACGGGTGTCGTCTGTACATGCTCCCTTTCACCGAGGCCACTGGTCATAAGTGGGTGCAGGTGGCTGCGGCGTTGCATGATAGGTTTACTTTGTTGCAACGCTCTTGGTTGGTTGCGGCCCACAACCTGTTCTCGCAAATTTAATAAGTCAATATTGACTTATTAAATATGTGCATAGGTGACATACTTAACATAATAGTTTCCCTTGAAAAGCTTCATAGAAAACACCGACCTTACCTAACCTACTTAGTATGTTAAGATAAGCATCTTATTGCTTCGTAATTACAATTATTATTTAACCTATACCTATAATAGGTTAAGTAACAATTGTAATTACGAAGCTATAAGATGCTTATTTTAACATACTAAGTAGGTTAGGTAAGGTCGGTGTTTTCTATGAAGCTTTTCAAGGGAAACTATTATGTTTAGTATGTCACCTATGCACACAACTAATAAGTCCAATATTGACTTATTAAATTTGCGAGAACGGGTTGCGGCCCCAGATGCCCTGAGACTGCCTCGTTTGGTGGTAGGGGTCCGGACTTGGGAATGGAGGTCTCTTCGGCTCTGGTTCCTTCCGCTCCTCCTAGTCCATCCCCTTCTATTATGTATACTTTCTGCCCTTGCTTCCAGCTCCGAACAGTAGGTGGGTTTCGGGGTTGGAGCAGGGTCTGGTTGGGTTGAGACTCGGGTGGTCTCGGGATTTCTTTCCTCTTCCGGGGTGGCGGCGGAAGCATTCGAGCCTGTTCCTCCAGCTGTGCCATACGGGTCTGACCAGTGGGTTCCCTTCTTTAGTATTTTGCACGGCTGCCCCGACTTTTCCTTATGAGGCTGGGGCTTTGGGGGGTACGGCTCGGCTCCGGGTCCTGCTGTCAGGATTCCCAGGGTTGGGGAAGGGGTTGCCTGGGGGAGCTTCGGCCCCGTTTTTTGCCCCACTTGGGTCTTTGTACTCTCGGTGCGGGGCTTGCAGTTCCTCTGAGTGGGGATTTTCCTTCCCCCTCTGCGTTCTTGTTGGCTCGGGTCTACCCCCTCCCTGAGTTCAGTTCCGTGTTCCTTTGTGTCCGTTGGTTCCGTCATTCCTGGGGGTGTTCACCCCCTTTTTTAAGGACATACGAACATCCGAACAATGGTGACTGCCATGGGCCTATTGGCCCGTACGAGGCAGCTTCTATTTATAGCCTCCCAATCCTGCTCATATTAACGTCCATCCCTCGTTTGTCACAGTCGTGGGAACCCACCCCGCCACTTCGTTGCACGATAATTGGTTCCACAAATCAACAACCCGGTTATCGAACCTGTGTTTACCCATGTCTTTCCTGAATCTTAACATATCCACTTTATCCCCACATTTTCCTCATCCTTTTCGCGCTTCCATCGCGATACTGTTCCCTTTGTATTGGGGTCCATGCATGTCCCTGGTTCAGGGGTATCTTTTCGTCTGTATGTGCCTCCGTGCATTTGTGCTTATTTGTCATGGTGCTTGTTGGTGTGCGTACCTCTTCATAGCTTCCAATATTCTTGGAACATCTGTACGATTTGTGTATGTACGATACGTGTGTGTCCGACTAGTGTACGAGCCGCACCATCCGGTGAACAGGTGGTGCGGTTCGTACTTCGTGCGCTGGGGCCGGGGTGTTTGCTCTGGGTGGTGTACTCGTGTGTTCCACATAGTTTATTGCGGTTTTCTAAGGCTTCTCTTTCCAGTCGTTGCCCTCTTAGTGTGGGGGTGGTTTAGATTTCCTGTGTGGGGTCGTCGCTTCGTTCTTTTCTCTGCTTCTGGGAGTGGGGTGGCTCCGGGTGGCACCTTCTCCGCCTCTGAACTGCACCTCGTCTTCTGCTGGGCACGCACCTCTGGACGTCTTTCGCCTTTGACTTCGCATTTTCTTCGGGTCCCAGTACATACAATACCTCCTGCCTTTTGTGCACATACCGTTTCGGGCAGGCCTCTGGCGTTGCTTTTGGTATGTTACTCTGCTCGACTGTGTTGTGGCTCGGTCGTGCCTCCACTCTGCAGGTGGGGTTGTACTGTCTGGCGACTGTCGGCCAGGTGCTGGGTCTCGACTTTTGGTGGGGTACTTGCCTGGATGTGCTTGCACCTGGGTCTTTTTCCCTATATTTGGACACTCCTTTGTTCCTCGGTCCGTGCTTCTGTGTCCCCCTTGCTTGGTCTTTGCTCTGGACACTCCTTGTCTATCTTCGGTGCCTGGCTGCTCCCTGATGTCTGTGGTGTCCCTCTGTGTGTGGGCGTCCTCCCTCTTCACACTTTGTGGTTGGTCGTGTACTTTCCACGTTCAAAATTCAAATTCACCTTTTTATTCAGGAATGATACTTTTACACAGTTGGTATGCGAACGTGCTGTTGGATTGCTTGTTGGTGCTAGCACTTCATTACCTGCAGCAACTCATACGTATAGTGTTTCGGGCAAGTTCCAGTCCTTTGCGTTCCCGGCGGCTTCTTGGTCCGTTTTCGGGGTTTTTTCCTTGCTTGTTCTCGTTTTCCTCCTAAGCTACACATGGCTGTGCTTCTGGGTTGGTTCTTCTTGGCTATACTGTACTGTTGTTGGGTGCTGAGGTGGGCCTCTGTCCACGTTCAGTTTCCTACTTTTGGACTGCCCCGGTGTTCAGTTTTGATACCGAGTTCCTTCACTTTTTTTTGTCTCGCTGCAGGCTTCTGTGTTGCACTGTCTGGGGGGAGTTGTGGACTTCCGGTCTGCCACTCCTGCCTTCCTGGTTTCCCTTTTTGGGTTTGGTAGCTGGGATTCCGGTCCTGGTTCCGACTTTTCCTTGTTCCTTTTCCGGACCGTACGTTTATGTTTGTCTGCGGTTCACGTCCTGTGTAGTTCCCCTCAGGTCTCCTTCGAGGATGTGTGAGTCGTTCTTCCCTGCTGACCAAACAGGCGCGTTTTGGTTTGCCCAGGTTCCTTTTCTACCCTCATTCCTGTTCTGGGGTTCGGGTCTCCCGGGTTGTTTGCAGGTTTTTTTCCTTTCGTCCGTGGTCTTGTTTTTAGGTTAGGGTGCTTGGCGTCCGCCTCCCGGGTCCTTCCCGCTTTTACTTATCTATGGTGAGGTATCTCCGGGGAGCCGACGGGGCTTCCCCCAGAGAACCAGCGTTGAATGTTACGAAATGCCATTTTCTGGGCGAGTCCCGGAGGCTTCCTCGGCATCCCTCCCTCCCTCCCTCCCTCCCTCCGGTCGGTGGTGTTTTTTGTGTTTTTTGACATCCAGGCTAAGAACTGAAGGTTGGGTCGCCTGCAGATGGGTCTGGGGCACCCACTTCACCCTCCCAGGGAGTGGGGGGGGGGGTGCGCAGACGGCGGCACGGCGACGTTATGACATCATGCTAGTTAGATAATTTTGTTTGGGGAGTTCTGTCCACTCGTTCGGCTTTTGGTAGCCATATTTTAACCAGAATAGGGGTTTGTTTTGGGGCGCCTACCTTTCTGGGTGCCTATCCCGGTCGATGGCAGACATAGAATGCTCCCAACCACACGGGGGTTTCTATAGGCCATTGCTCCTCGTGTCTCTCTGAGGGGGGGGCCAGGTTCTGGCTCGTGGTCCTCACTAGGCAAGAACTCCAAGCACTTTGACTGATGCCAGAACGTTATACATATCCATTCAGCCTGGATAGCTCCTGGGAGCCTCAGGGTCGCACCCAGAAAATGGCGTTTCATTACATTCAATGCTGGCTTTTTATTCATTGCCACCATTCAACAGTAGTCTGTGCCCTCGACTCATAATTGTGGTTCCCGGTGTTGATATGCAGATGGGATAGAATTAGTTGAGCATGTTTCCTTTCAACTAATACCTTCATTCACCTGGCAGTAAATAGGTACCAGGGAGTTGGGCAACTGTTGTGGGCTGCATCTTGGGTATGGGTCAGTAGTTAACATAGGGGAGACCACGATAATCCTAAGTGTAGGCTTTCTGGCTCAAGCAACACAAAATTATTATTATACATTATAACATGAACCATGACTTCTGAGACCTTGCCGCTAAAAGATCTTGATAAATAACTTAAGGTGTTGGAACTTAAAATCTTAATTCCTTGAATTTTTTTTTTCTGTACACTAATTAGACGCTTTGATTCTTGTCACTGAAGCTATTTTTTTCCTTCTGATTGCAGAGTTCTTTAGAGCTTAGTTTTTAAATACTTCTAAGTGAAAATTTGATTTCTGATGTACAGGTGCACTGTACTGGTATATTTTACTTCAAAATCTAGAATTTATTGCCTTTATTGTGCATTTTGCAAAAGTTTGAAGATTAAATGCCTGGAATTTTCATAATGGTTTGCTGTTCAGAATTCTGTACTGTACTGATGTAGGCATTGATTATGAAAATGATTATTTTTAGATTACTACAGTAATAGGTAACTGCAGTTTATCTTCTTTGATAAGAGAATCATGTGGGAAATTAGGCCTAGGCTTGGTGTAGGGGTATCTGGCTCTGCGTTGACTCGTACTTTTACCCCCTTCACAGGCTGGACCCAGTCGCATCCCTTGGAAGGCCATAAGCTATGCAATACTTCTATTTGCTGCTGGTACACTGTTGCTCGTCATAGGAAGTCTTCTTGTTGCGGGTTACATCGAGGAAAAATATGCTGACCGAACGTGGCCACTCATCATCCTCGGGGCCCTCATGTTTATTCCAGGGGCCTATCATTCTTATATCGCTTATTATGCTTTCAAAGGATATGATGGATATTCTTTTGATGACATTCCTTCATATGATGATGACTGATTGTTATGCAAAACATTGTTCACTTAAATATGCCTATTTTTACATATTCATGGATTCATCAAGGTAGAGTTGATAAATTCTCTCTCAATGTGATAAATGTGTAGATCATACAATTGCTAATGTTATCAAGTCAGTTACATATGAATTCATTCCTAATACAGTATTTTCATTAGTAAATATCCTACTGGAACATTTATAGACAATTGTCTTGTTTTTTTCTTGTCAAAAGTTCTTTTTATTTTAAGTATAGTACAGTTAGGCATCACTATCTTGCAGGTATACATTCCAGGAAAAAACTTGGTTCATGGTAACTTGTGAACACTTTATCAAACTTAAGTTTATTCTGGAAAGATAAGATTCTTTCTGAAATCTTCCATCTTCTTTAACCCCACTCTTGCATTAATAATTTCATGTGAGGTCTCATGCAGACACTCCCAATTTGCATGGAAGGTCTGCAATTTGTGCAGTATTGCATCATGCTGATTCAGTTATGGATCAAGCTCGGACGGGAATGGATTAATGTTGAAATTATATGCTACTTCGTGTATCTACTGCATTATCTATAGTTAAATGAGCTTCCAATGACCCTTAATTTGTGATGTTTATTAACTTTTTTTTTGTATTTTATTTATGCATCAGGGTGCATAATGATATTCCAATCATTCTGTGTTTTATTATGTGCTGAATTTGTGACTAGAAAGTGGAAGAAGCTTTAAATATTGTTAATCGAATAAGTATTATGTCAAGTACCGATTGGAAGTGTGTTAGTTTTGGAGGTCACTGGAATCTACTATCTTTCTCATATACACTGTTTGATTTGTTTTGACTTTGATATGCATAGCACTTGCAGAAATCAATGGCCACTTGTACTGTTCAGTACAGTATCTGAACTGGTGTTTCCACAACTTCCTAGTGGGGAAAAAAAAAGTGCTGTATTAAGTAGGTACATATGCTTGTCAATGATGTAAAAGAGAGTACTGTACTTGCCACTTCCCAGTCAAAAAATATGTTGTAGTACACAAAGTTGATTTGTATACAGTACTTGCCAAAGACATTGATGAGAGTAATCATTGCTTTTACATTTGTTCAAGCCTCTTGGATTACAGCAGGAGTTGTAGAACATTTGAAAGATGGAATGATGCAACAGTGTAGTCCGAAAAGTGCATAAAACTAAAATACCCGAGTGAACTTCTAGGTAGTAAATCCAACTCTCATGTTTGGTGAGGTTTTCTAGAAAATACCTGCAGTGATTAGTGAATTTCTGACTGTGCAATACAGTACTGCACCTGTACTCTAAAATTAGTGTAAAATTGCTATTTGATTTGCACAAAGATATATACTATATATAAAAGTTTTAAAATATTTTTGAGTAACTGGAATGCAGATACAGCAGCCCGTCTTACAAATTATGTCGCTTTTAGCTCGTATGCACTATGGGCAAAAATCGCCATATATTGGAATTTTCAAACAAATGAAAATAAATTTTCCAATTGAAATGGACCCAAAGCAGCAAGTTTTGGGTCCTCTGGTAGGTTAGGAAAGCAGGAAATTTTCCTAAGGTTTCGAAATTCATGAAAATTTAAAGTGTCCTCACCTAACCCAACACTTAGCCGAAGGACCCAAAACAGAAAATGGGACAGTACATTAATTTCGTGAGCTGATTTCCTTTTCAATTGCGACCATTTTTGGCCTTGGTGCGCATACGAATGAAAAGCGACGTAATTAGTAAGAGGACAAGTTGGATACAATACTGCACGTGATTAATATAATTTTTAAAGTAAAGTTAATTGTAAAAATCTAGTTTCTATGGCTTGCAAAGTTTTAAATTTTATATTTTTTTAATGGAATGATCTTGTGGCAAAAGACAGATGTCACTTAGTTGAAGTATATAAGAGTGCTTAAATTGATGTTTATCATTACAATGTCATGCTTATGTTTTGAGAAAATATTGAGGATGCACAATGGGATCAAACCCGCATCCATGAGCTCCTCGGGCACATGCACTACAGGTTGTGGATCTGATCCCATTATATGGCCTCAGTATTTTTTTCATATGTTCATCACGTTTTTGTGATTTAATTTTTTTGTGTTCTGATTATGATTGTATGTGTTGTGTTCTGATTGAAACTAGGATCTCGAGTGTTGTTGTGTGCTGCAGGTCTCTGTAATTTGTTCATTGTTAAGTTACCATGGTGGTTTGTGAAGTACTCTGGTTGGTTATAAGTGATGGTCAAGAATTGCTAAGCACATTTAGCATTTAACAAAAATGCAGCGACGAGAAATAAACATTATGTAAACAAAGTACAGTATGGTGGGGCAGGTCACGGACGGGATCACTGGCGGGGCTCGTCGTAGACGGGATCACTGGCGGGGCTCGTCATAGACGGGATCACTGGCGGAGCTCGTCGTAGACTGGATCACTGGCGGGGCTCGTCGTAGACGGGATCACTGGCGGGGCTCGTCGTAGACGGGATCACTGGCGGGGCTCGTCGTAGACGGGATCACTGGCGGGGCTCGTCGTAGACGGGATCACTGGCGGGGCTCGTCGTAGACGGGATCACTGGCGGGGCTCGTCGTAGACGGGATCACTGGCGGGGCTCGTCGTAGACGGGATCACTGGCGGGGCTCGTCGTAGACGGGATCACTGGCGGGGCTCGTCGTAGACGGGATCACTGGCGGGGCTCGTCGTAGACGGGATCACTGGCGGGGCTCGTCGTAGACGGGGTCACTGGCGGGGCTCGTCGTAGACGGGATCACTGGCGGGGCTCGTCGTAGACGGGATCACTGGCGGGGCTCGTCGTAGACGGGATCACTGGCGGGGCTCGTCGTAGACGGGATCACTGGCGGGGCTCGTCGTAGACGGGATCACTGGCGGGGCTCGTCGTAGACGGGATCACTGGCGGGGCTCGTCGTAGACGGGATCACTGGCGGGGCTCGTCGTAGACGGGATCACTGGCGGGGCTCGTCGTAGACGGGATCACTGGCGGGGCGCGTCGTGGACGGGATCACTGGCGGGGCGCGTCGTGGACGGGATCACTGGCGGGGCGCGTCGTGGACGGGATCACTGGCGGGGCACGTCGTGGACGGGATCACTGGCGGGGAGCGTCGTGGACGGGATCACTATCAGGGAGCGTCGTGGACAGGATCAGTACAAGCAAATTAAAGATGATTTCATGCATTTTATATAATTAGCTTCATTTGTGAGTGTACTTTGTAGGATACAGTTAAACAGCTACTGTACCCATATTTTATCTTGGCTAATTTGTGTTGGTGTTATTACATGGTGTTATGATCGAGGACATGTCTTTGTTAATCCTTGTGCCTTATGGGGATCACTTAAGTCTCTATATGACTGAAATTATGCCAGGTAACTACAATATAGGCATATGCCAATGTAGTATTAATTTCTGAAAGTGGCTTATTGTATTTGTATACGTTTTATCATAAAAAAAAAGTTTTTGGAATTATTTTATTTGCTGCATATGGAAATATGATGTCATAGATTCAAACTAAGAAAACATAGGTGTTGAAAAATGGGCATAAATACTCTTTGTAAACAGCATGATAGATGGAATAAATAAATTATATGGTGTAGTATATGCCAAAACAGTTAAAAGCTTTAGAACAGTACACGACATCAGATGAATTGATTTCAACCTGTAACTACACTTAGGTGATTACACACACACACACACACACACACACACACACACACACACACACACACACACGTGTACACTTTCGTTTTTACGTAGCATTCAATAGTATTAGTATTGCAGTTCTTAAATTCAACATTTTCGCCATTTTTAGTTGCATCACTTGTGAAAAAAACAGTCCAAAGCTTTAACACATAACCTTTTGCATTTACTGTTTTAAAGTATATTTGTTGCCTGCAGAATATTGCATATTGCTAAAAAACATAGTTATTACAACTAAGTGACCTACAGCTTCTTGTATTCTAAAGTAGTGTATTTACTCTAAAGTATGCACTTCATAGACCTTTTACCATCAGAAGTATATTCTAACTGGTATTCTATCAATACTGTTAGCAGAGATATCCTAATTTTCCCAAACATATGCTGCCTAAACCTCTGTTAGCAGTGGCATATTCTCCTGTATAAAATATAAACATAAGTAGAACTTTGCTACAAACACCAACAGATGTAATTGTGTAATAAGTTATATTCTCATCAGGAGTTTAACCAAATAAAGGTTCCTATATTAAATTGCAACTGGGTTTTAATACCATATTTTCCCTGTTTTAGACCATTCTCTGTAGCTATTTGCTTAGCCCTTTCTTTTGATAGTATAGTACTTTGATTGTTCTACAGTCACATGTAAGACTGAAGACACAGACTCATACCACATTGAGTAAAATTTATGAAGACACTACTACTGGTGGACATGTGAAGGGGCCTTCCCCACCACATCCACCTTTATGGTGATGGCAACCCCACCCATGACATTGGTAATTATTGATATTTACTTTTTCAACAACACAAACTTACTTGCCTCTGCTGTTGCCTATGTGAAGAGATTCTCATTATCAGTTCTATATGTTATAAATAATAAGGCCGGGGCACATGCAATCCCTCGATCGTCGTTGCCCCTAAATCAATAATGTCAATAATAAGGCCTTGAAGTTAGCCTGTAGGCTATGGTTTAGTTTGGCACTAATCCACCATGGTAGTAAGTCCTCACTCTGCCTCTGCACAATATTGCATTTTTAATAAAGTCGTACTTTGATGGAAAGTTTTAGTTTGTTTTGCACGTGTTGCAAAATTACATTACATTATGGGGTTTAATATTGTAAGAGTATCTGAATTTACCTGAGAGCAACCATCTCACAAGTGGCCTCGACAAGAATGGGAAACCAGTGACTTGGAAACCCCCCCTCCCCAATTGTCCTAGTGATTTTATCCAGCTGGATATTGAATTGCAGCAATGTTTTGTCATTTACCATCCAACTGCGTAGAACTGTATGATTAACATTCAATTAT